AATTGTCACTGCTTTGGACAATAAATTAGCAATTGATTCTCCATTTTTCATAATCAAAGTGATTGTAGTCTCACCACAATGACCTTTGGTTCACCTTCAAACTCCTTCTGTACAATGGACTAAGATGGCTTTAATCTGGTTGTGATCCGTGAAAATGCCTATAATGAACTGCCTATTGGATAAATATCATCGCCTTAGTATCTTTTTTTCTTGCAGTCCCACATTCTATTTTTTCATCAGGATCTACAAATTCTCATTCTATCAAGTCTTAAATATATTGAGATGTGACTATATTTTTCGTACAATTACTCCAGAGTTTGAACTTCATATGCATAGGCAACTTTATTTCTCAACCTGGTCTTTGAAATGATTCAATTTCTGAAATTTTTTTATCTACTTTTCAATAAAAAGTCTCAACTCATGCGATTATAATCGTCATCAAATATTAGAAAATAACGACTCCCACCAAAAGACATACTTTGCATAGATTCACAAAAATCAGCATGAATTAATTGAAAACGCTTTGAAGCTTTCCAAGACTTTCCAATAAGAAAAGACTTCCTCATTTTTTTTCATAAATGAAACATTCACACAATTTAATGAAATCAATATTTAGTGTAGACACTCAGCATGTCTTTTCTTTCAACATGCACCTGTTTTATGTTGTCAAGTGCGTCATTTTCTTTAGCTTCTCATCAAGCTCCTCGAACAAGGATGTGACACCTAACGTATGATTTGAATAACCACTGTCTACAAATCATAAAATACATGGCTTGTGATGCGTATCAAAGCAAGACATAAATACATAAATATGTTCCTCATTTTTCTATTGTTGCAAAGTATATTTTTTAGATTTTATACCAATAATTAGCCATTATATGTCCTTCCGTGGCGTTGAATATGGGGACATTGGATGTTATTGTTTATGGTACCTTGCTCATTGGACTGTTTTCCCTCATCATTTCTTCCTCAACTTCTTTCATAATCACGACCTCCACTATCGCGAAATTCTCTTTTCCTTGAGCTCTACTTGTTAGATTATTACTCTCACCATATTTAGTTGTTTTTTACTTCACTTGGAATGTCATATATTCATTATTTTTAATAGATCGATTGAGTCTCGTCTCATAAGCTTTAAGATACCATCAATTCATCAACGAAAAAAATTTATCGATCCTTAGACTCTTCTATATTAGTAAATACATGATCACATTTTGTAGCTAAGCTTTGAATAATACTTTCCACAATTATCTTGTTAGTAATTTTATCAACTGCTTTAGCAGCTAGGCACTTCACTCTTCGATGCAGAGCATCTAACTAATATATTATGCTTTGTTTCTCGCTTACTTTACTGGTGTGTCTAGTATTACATTTTGATGACAATTGTCGCTACTTTTGATGATAAATTAGCAATTGATTCTCCATTTATCATCATCAAGGTTATAAAGTTACGTTGAAGTGATTGCAGTCTCACCACAATGATCTTTGGGTCACCTTAAAGCTCCTTCTGTAGAATGGTCCAAGCTTGCTTTACTATGGTTGTAATCCGTGAAAATGATTATCATGAACTACCGTTATTGGATAAACACCAGTGCTTAATTTTTTTTTTACAGTACCACATTTTATTTCTTCATCAGCATTGACAAATCCTTATTCTATCAAGTCTCAAAGATCTTGAGATTTGACTATAGATTTCGTAAGAATACTCCAGAAAATTGTAGTTATCTCTCTTAAAGACGGAAATGAATGACTATGCCACACTCAATTCAAGCCCGATTAATCTATTGAACCTAAGTATTTTCATTTTGATGAAGATAACAATAAGACAACACAAATTCAATTCAAAATGGCCTAAATATATCTGGATTATATCTTAATCCCAAACCTGAGGCCAAACTCATGGTAATCCCTATAGAATCCAGAGCTTTCTCACTTATAATTCACCTAAAACTACCAAGTTACGATTTACACTAGAGAATTATGATTAAAAAAATCATGAATAAATGGTTTTTAATCAAATTCAAGGCTCTACATAAAATCCTTCTTACACTATTTTTCGCATCTTATGTTAAGCGTAAACCCTCTGCTAGGTCACGAATTGTCGATTCTAAGGCCTTTTGCTTTCAGATGTCTATGCCTTTATGTTTGTTTTGTTGTTTGAATCGTTTTTGTGCTTGGTCTTGTTATTTTATCTAATAAAAGGCCTTTTGCCAACCTTTATTTTTTTAAAAACAGGGTTTGAGATTATTTTTGTATGAGAATTCTAAAGGGATTATGCTAGTATTTTTTTTCCTTTTCCAGCTTTGTACATGTTTATTTTTTCTTCTTCTTTTCTTGCTTACTTTTTTAATGATAAAAACCAAATATAATTATAAGTATTAAGAAACTATTTTAGACTAACGAAAATAGTTAAATTAAAAGTAAAAATATTCTCAAAGAAAAATACTTTACCAACTTATCTGTTAAATTTAATTTTTTTTTGTTAAAAAAAATCTGATCCTCAAATATTATTCTATTTTTATATTTTTCATATATTCTAAAATAGACTTACTAAAACAAATTTCAAATTAAAAAAATCTGAATATGTAATTTTAACCTAGAAAAAGATTTGAATACTAAAATAGTATAAAATCTTATTTTGGTTAAAATATAAGTATTTGCAATACCTATTAGATTTAGATATTATTCAACTTGTGTAATTTTGTTTAGAGATAAATGTCAAAAATTTACTTAAATTATATGTTTTTTTTTATTTTCATACCTAAACTATTGAGAATGTGAGTTTCATATCTAAACTATCACTTATTAATTTGAAAAACACACTTCTCTCTTTTATAACATCTCATTATATGTGTAATACACTTTCTCTTTTCAAACTATATAGACTTTGCAGATTCCCTAGAGTTTTAGCCAAATAACAGACACATACGTCTAAGGATGTTTTTTGGTACAAAGAAAAAAATTTATAAATTAATTAAGTAATTTTCTTATTTATTTTATTTTGGTAAATAGATAAAAAGTATTTGAGTGAAATTTATTTATATTTTTCAACTTTACTTTCAAATCAAACTCTACCCTTATTTTTGTAAGTATTTTAAATTTTTAACTGAGTTCATTAATATTGTAAATAGAATATTTTTAAAATCAAAATATATTTGCAAAATTTGAAGTCAGTTTTTATTATTTTCATTTTAATATTACATGTATTAAGCCTGTATGCATATTCGTATGCATATTTAAGTTTCACCTATCATTTATTTTGGAAAATATATAAAAATTCCTTCTAAATTTTGCGGCAAAAGTTACTTTAGCACTTAAATTATATGGATATTTAAATATCCTCTTAGCATCTTTCAAGTGATTAAAACACCTCCAAAGGAATGATGTGGCAGAGTGCCACTATCCTAAAAGTGCATGAAGAAAGAGAAGAAAAAACACTTAATTTTTAAAGTCCTAAAAATGGTCTTTTTTTATTGGTCAATATATAAAAATTATTTAAATAGTTTTTTAATATATTAAATTTTTAAAATATGTAAATTTTTCTTATTAAGAGGTAAATGAAAATAGTGAGTCCCCTTTTTAATTTCTTTAATTTTTTTTTTCATTTTGTTGTCTTCTTCAATACACATCTTTCTCCATTGAAACATATCATCCTCCATCTTCATCCCCATCTCTATCCATTATTTTGATTTCACTTGTCTTTTACTAATTCATAAAATTCAACATCAATTCATTTTATTAACGTCGATTTCGCAAATATAAACTTTCTTAATTTTTGGGTGACTCGTTTCGATTTCTAGATCATTCAAACATTTCTCATAAAATTTATATTATTTTTATCAACTTTCTTCTGCAATCTCCATTTCTTGAGTTGTCAAGGGAAAATTGGCTTTCAAAAAAATCAATTCTTAAAGAGGGTAAATTCGTTGGGAGGGTTCGAAGAGTATAATGTGAATTTTCGTTTATAAAGTGACTTAAAATATTGTTGAATAGTGGTGAAAAAGAAAAAAATCGAAAGAATTGAAGGTTGGAATAATGATAAACAAGGAAGAAGAAAAAGAGGGTAAGGGTGGGGGTGCGGTGGAGTGAGGGTATGCATTTAAAAATTAGTCAATTGATATAATTAATTTAAAAAAGTGTATTAGAAAAACTAGTGAATAAGTAAAAAAAGAATAAAAAGTGAATGACATGGTGCCTACATTGTTATGATGTGGCGCTCATTTGGCTAAGATATGGCAGGTGAGAGTGGTGTTCCAATCTCAGGGTGGAAAAAAATCACATCAAAGATGTTAAGGGGTATTTAAACGTCCCTATAATTTAAGTAGTAAAGTAAATTGTCCGACCAAGTTCAAGGTTTTTTTTTTTATATATATATATTTTCTTCTTTTACTTTCTATCATCTATATAGGTAAATAAATTTTGATTCTAGTAAAATCTTTTCTAAATTATAATTTAAAATTTGTTACATTTTAAGTAGATAATCTTCTAAGAATTTATTATTCAAATATATAGCTGCTTAATTTTTGTCATTTATTTTTTTATTATTTGCATTGAAATATGTATATAAGGCTATCACATAATAATTTTTATTATTAATATTCAAATTAATTTATAATTCTATTTATTTATTTCATTATTGAATAACATTAGCTTATACACTCAATAAACATTTTTTACTTTTTTTTTTAAGAAAATACTTTTTATAGAAAATTTGTTAAATTCATACATATATATATATATATATATATATATATATATATATATATATATATATATATATATATATATATATATATATATATATAGTATATTATATGATTATTTCAAAAAATCATCTCAGGAAAATTTTAGTTTTAGTTAAATATTTAGCTAATTAGTTTAGGTATATAATAGTTTATACTTTAAATTATTTAGTTTATATTTGAGTTAACTATTTTATTTTTGTTAAGGTTAGAAAACTCATAAATTATTTATACTAATTTTTCTTATTCAGTCTTAGCCGAATTCACCAAATAAATTCAATTTGACTAATTTTTAATTCCCTTCTTCAATTTTGCTCTATCTGAACTTGGGCTTCTTCTCAATTCACAGCGGCCAACCCATCCAACATTTCAATTAGACAATACCATCAGCCGACCCATCAGAAATACCCAACCCAAATCCCATTTCATCAATACCAACTCCTAGCCCACTCCAATTTTGTCGACCCGACCCACCCTTATTTTAGTTTTCCTCTCTAATGTAACAACGACATTTTTCACGGCGTAGCAACGACATTGATACGTGAACGGCACATATATGCTCCATATGCGCCTTGTTCCTTCCCACGCGAGGGCGAGTAGACAAAAATCACGTTCAACATCCTTAAAGGACGCGGCTAGACGGAAAAAAAGAGGAATACCTGCCCTTTTGTCGTCTTCTTCCTCATTCCCCTCAGACCAGTACAGTCCTCAGTTGAGAAGAACACGTGTTTCCGTCCTTGGGATCGTGAGATCAAGCCACGTCTCACCCCAAGGACTATCGAAATCATCAAACCGTCCATCCTCCTTTCCAGTTTTGGGAATGTCTTGAAGCCTCAGAAAAGATGTTTATCCAAATTGATGAAAGTTTTTTGGGAATTCAAAAGGAAAGTGGTCCACGTTCCTATCCGCTTGTGCCCGTTTCCCTCCAATAGAACCCTAATTTTTCCCCCATATATAATCACTTGTGATTCACTGTTAAAGGAATTTTTTTGGAAGAGAATTATTCTTGAGCGGAAAATAGACAAAAAAATTACCTTAAGCAGAGTAATAGAAATGGGCACTAAAAATACTTTTTAAACAGGGGAAATAGTCGATTTCGGCCAGCTCTTCTGTTCTTTTGTTGCTGGTGTTCCTCCCCATTATTTTTTTGTCAAGATTCGAAAATTCATTTGGGTCTCTTGCTGCTGTTCGGCCCTGTGCTCGTGGGGTAGAAGTCACTTCGAAGTTCGTCGTCACTGTTCACTGCACATAAGCAGGTAACAACTCCCCTTTTGTATGACTTTCTCCTCTTATATGTTTTTGAAAGGGTGTCCTCTTCAATGTCCTGGAAATGTGTTTGTTGCTGCTGGCTGTTAGATTCTTGACATAATGATGACTACATATCAGTGTTTCTTTAGCGATTTGGAACCATCCAACATGGAGGCGTATATTGTTCTGTTGTAATAGTTGGCTCTCTTTCAAAGCGCCTCACCTGCTGATTTTTTTTTTGTTCGGATTGTTTTCATTAGCTCGCAAATTTGGATTCCTTTTTTTATTTGTTTGCTCGTGAGGTAGTTTGAAAGAATTGTTTGTTCACAGATTAATGCGGTTCATGTGACTATCCTTTCCCTCCTCTAAATTGTGTCCAAGATATTTTTGTGGGTATCTTTGTATTTAAAGTTTGTTCCCTCTGTTACTCTTAATGTTGTATAGTTTGCATATCATACTTCCTTAGTGAGCTTTTTCTTAGAAACATGATAGAACATATATACACCATTTCTAGTTGTTGCTTATAATCTCCGTTGTCATTTCTCCTTTGCCATCAGAATGTATGTTAGCTTAACTTGCAATTTCGGGTAAATGGTTTGTTTAACTTTCTACCTTGCTATCTCTAGACATAGTTATTTATTCTATTCTGATTTTATTTTTTTAAATTTCTAGTGTTATATTCAAATAACTTGTTTCTATATGAGTACGTCTTTGCTTCATTGATTGGAGTTTGTATTCTCCCCTCACCCTCTCGTAAGTTCGATTTAATGTGATGCCTTTGTCCTAGTGAGAGTTCAAGAAATAGGGTTTGGATGTGATCATTTAGTCAAAATTTTTTCTTATTTGGTTTGAGTTGAAATCTTCCATGATATAATGGTGGTGTTTTGTTCTTAAGTGTATCTGTCAATCATAAACTATTTTTCCTTCCTTCAGCTCCAACAACTTATGCTGGCAAAGTCCTTTTTTTTAAAAAAAAAATAATAAGAAAAATCATGGCTTACATTTCCAAATTCTTTTGTTTATTAAATGTATGCCTCTTTGAGAAAGGTCAGAATGAAATGAAAAATATCTTCTAACTCTAAAGCACTTGTAGTGGTTCACTTTTGATATCATTACATTTTTATCATCTTAATAATGAGGTAGTAAATGTTTTTTTTAGCTTGGCTTTTGTTGAAATTGTGTTTACATGATTTCTATGCCCTTTGAGAAAGTTTTAAATATCATTCTTATCGGTTACTGTTGATTGAGTTTCGTTTGAGTTTAGCTTCAATCAAGTTTCTCGCGGTTATTTTTGTTTGTCTTATCATTGTGAGTAGGTGCTAATTTTTGTTCATGTTGTTCTTTTCATGTGAAACTCCTCTTGGGTCCATTTGGAATCCATTTCCTCTCCTTGTGTACTCTTCGATCCATGAAGGCTCAATCCTTCATATCCGAGTCAAATGTAATTGCCATTTAATCAAGATAACATTCATTACATGAGTCATCATAACAAAAGAGGATCCCTACAATAATTAACCTCAAAGCTTATGTGTGTAATGCATGAATAAGAGTCCACACTCTTATCCATGATAATCAAGGCCTCTTGAGTAGCCATAGTTCTTCCTAGACTTGACCTTGTGGGAATTAGCCTTTACCGACATAGACTATGTGAGATTCCATGGAATCTGGTGTCATGCCCACACCAAAAAGAGATGTCCTACTTGCCTAAGGCAAAACCAAAATATATATTAGATTTTAGGTCGATCCAATAGATAAATAATCTAAAGGGGCACATAGTTTATGGGATAGAAGATTGCTTCTAGAAACTCCAAACATACTTAATGGGGAGCTTCCATCTCATTTAGATTAACTTTATAAACCCAGACTTTCGTAACGGGAGAGACTCTATTTCATTTTAAATATCTTGTGGGTGCTAAGTATAATTCCCATGAAGTATTTATTGAATCCTAACTTATTTTATTAGGATAGCTCATTAGATTACGCGTGAATAAACTTTTACAATCCATGTTTTCATGTTAGATTTAAATGTTGAGAACTGACTTTCAACCTAGAAACTTCAATATGTGAGAAAAACATTCACATTATGCTCATTATGTGTTTATGAGAACGAACATTCAATCAACACAGTAACATAGCAAATAATCATACATGAGTGTGTACGTGAGAATGACCTTTCAACAACACAACAATAATAATCATATTAATAAAGTATACATATGAAGCCATAATTAAGCATAATTCTCATGTTTTACCCCTCTTGCATCAAGGATCACATTCAACCAACAACATCTATGGTTAACACATTAAACATGAAAATAAGCATGATTCAGATAACTCAACTATTACAACATAATCTCATTTTACTTATCTCTCCACAATCTACTGGTAAGATAGTCATAAATTAGAGATATAGGTGTTTTAATGGGTTCTTGGGAAAATCTAACATCAAAAGAAAAAGAAATCCTCTAATACATAATTCTAGTAATCAATACATTATATGCATGATTCTATAACGTTCTACAATCATCAATCAATACCCACACTTTAAGATCCAATTTGGAAAAATAGGCAATCCATGGATTCTTGAGTAATTAAACTTAAAATCATATAAAATCATCAATATATCCATACACAAACATTATTCAATCATTTAAAAAGAATTAGAAAGGAATCCAAAGAGTTGCTTCGCCTATTAGTGATAATAGGAATATGCGTATTTTGATGTTACACCCCAAAAATTTCTAAGTGAAGACATGAATTATTCTACGAATGTGTAACGGCACAAACTCGATGATTTCTAATTATACATAGGTTTGAAGATAAATTCTTATGTTTGGGAAGTGTATTGGATGTAAACTAAGGTCAGAAGTTTCCTCTAGCATAAAGTCGAGATCAGAGATTCCTTATCGGTTGAGTTTTGGTATACTATTTTACTTAGGTAAGTATTAAATGACCATATCTCATAGAATATAAAATTTATGTGAAAAAGAATATATCAAATTAGAGGTCAATGAGTCTTCTTTCTAATGCCACCAAGTTTTCATCAATTGGAGTTTAGAATAAAAAGTTATGTTCTTTTTACTGGACACTATCCAGTTGTGCACCGGCTGCGCGCCCGAGGTATATTCCGAGGGATAGCATGGCGAGGAAGTTGCTACTGACTTCCATCACATTGGCCGCACACCTGATACATTTTTTGTGAGATAGTGAGTCGCAATAGCCTAATAAGAAATCCGAAAGACTTAGTCGACCTCCCTACTTAAAAAGTTTATCCTAGAAAGAGAAGTACGCAATAAACTAGCTTCTTTTAAGGTTGATTCGTCATCATGGGTAAGATTTGATCATAAAATTTTATAATTTCTTAATTTTAACACCAACTAACATCATCTACCCATTAAATTTATAAGTGTTCCAAGAAAACCAACCTCTAAGGTTTAAGAAATGAATTCTTACCATATTTTCCTCCAAAGATGTCACCTTTCATTTAGAGTTTAGTACTTCATGTAGTTTAGTTCTTGAATAATTATTCATGCTAATTTTATCACATGAATCATATTTATTTAAGAATTGTTGAAAGCTTTTGCCCAAATATGTTAATGTATTGACTTCTGAATTAATTTAAATTCATGTATTTAAAGTTATCACTTGAGAAGAGTTTGTAAGGGAAAACTAATTGTTCCAAATGAAGTGTTTTCAATTGAGATTTTGGAAGAGCATAAATAGTTTTTGAAGTAGTTTTAGTTAATAAAATAAAGATCATAATATCATAAAAAGGTCTTTTTGAGCACTAATTCAACATATATATTAGTATGGGAATTATTGCACGATTTTAGTCTTTGTTAGTTGAATAGTCAGGTAGATGTGGGTATTGTCTCGACACATATCTTCAGTTAGTAGATGCTTCATAGGTAGACAAAATTAGTGAGTTAGTTTTGAGTCTTTAGTATTCACAAGTTTTAGAACATTATTATAATTTTAATTATTTATATGCGATTTATTTGACATTTTTGAATGAGACATATCTTTAAATAACTTTGGATCTTTATTTTATAAGTCTTACACATGTATGCATAATTTTTAGCTCAGTAGTCATCTAGGTCAAGGTTTCCCTTGGAACCAACATAGTTGTGAGTGCTTGCAACATCCAGGGTGTAGTCTTGAGGTTTGCCCGACATGGTATTTGAGAATATAGTTCAAGTGTCCTAGGGTGTCTACAGATTAGTGCTTTTTCTTACGGGTGTGTGGTGGACTACATTTATAATCAGGAGGCCTACAGGGCCTTAAGAGATGATTTCCATTCTTTCATACTTTAGTTCATGTAATAAAGTTGTTCCATAAGAAACTTATTCATATTCATGTGTTGATCAAGCGTATTTAACTAAATTTTGGGTGCAAGCGGAATTAAGAGTGAGAGAGAGAGTTGTAGAGAAAAAGGGATCAGGAATGATTTTATTATGAGGGAGAACCCTCCAATTATACAAGATATTTTTAATAATTTGGCCAAATGACCGACACAACTTTACATTTTACTTTTACACCTGGCCTTATTATATTCGGCCGACACAAGAAAACAAAATACTTTTACACTTATTGGCCTTTACTTTTTATATGGCCGACATAACTTTTACATATGGCCATCTTATCTTCTGGCCGACACTACACGGCAAACTACTTTAATAAAGACATAAAATTACAAAATACTTTTTTTTTGCCAGGTGTAAAAGTAAAATGTAAAGTTCTGTCGGCCATTTGGCCAAGTTGTTAAAAATTTCTTGTATAAATGGAGGGTTCTCCCTCATAATAAAATCATCCCTGATCTCTTTTTCTCTACAACTCTCTCTCTCTCACTCTTAATTCCGCTTCCACCCAAAATTAGTATCAGAGCTAGTTTACAAAAAATAAGATATGAAAAATTCAGAGATAACAAATCTACAAGAATAGGTATATTCGTTTATGTTCATGGGTAGCTAAATCTATTTATTCTTGATAATCTCTTGTTGATTATGAT